ACAGAAATTACAACAATTTTGCAGAAAATTCAGAAAACGCATGAAATACTAGAAACATTGCAGGAAAATGCAGAAATTACAATAATTTTGTAAAAATTTCAGAAAAATGCATGAAAATACTTGAAATTTGCAGAAATTGCAAAACAAATGTAGAAATTTTGCAGGGAAAATACAGAAATTACAACAATTTTGCAGAAAATTCAGAAAACGCATGAAATACTAGAAAAATTGCAGGAATTTGCATGAAAATAACTGAAATTTTGTAAAAAATTGCAAGAAAATCAGAAAAATGCAGAAATTACAATAATTTTGTAGAAATTTTCAAATAAAAATGCATGAAAATATTAGGAATTTTGCAGAAATAGAAAAAATTGTAGGAAATGCAGAAATTAAAACAATTTTGCAGAAAATTATAGAAATTACAGAAAAATGCATGAAAATACCTGAAATTTTGCAGAAAAAATCAGAAAAAAAATGCATGAAAATATCAGGAATTTTGCAGAAATTGCAAAAATTGCAAGAAAATGCAGAAATTACAATTTTTGCAAGAAATTGCAAAAAAGCATGAAAGTACCTGAAATTTTTCAGAAATTGCAGAAAAATGCAAGGAAATCAGAAAAGTGCAGAAATTACAATAATTTTGCAGAAAAATTCAGAAAAATGCATGATAATATCAGGAATTTTGTAGAAATTGCAAAAATTGCAGGAAAATGCAGAAATTACAAGAATTTTACAGAAAATTTTCAAGAAATTGCAGAGAAATGCATGAAAATACTTGAAATTTTGCAGAAATTGCAAGAAAATCAGAAAAATGCATAAATTACAATATTTTTTGCAGAAATTTTGCAAAAAAAATAGAAAAACATAGAAATTTTGCAGGAAAAGTGCAGAAATTACAACAGTATCCAATGAGTTTAACCAAATTTGGACGAGAGAGTTGTCCCAGAAATATAACCTCTGCCAACAAACCCACCAAGTTCTTAGCAGAACTTAAAAAGAGAGATAATCTCCAAAGAATAGTAGAGAAAAATAGAGAAATAATCTCCAAAGAATAGTAGAGAAAAATAGAGAAATAATCTCCAAAGACAAAAGTACCAGCCATTCTCTGTGGCCCTGAAAATTGTTATCCCCATCATGGACCTTGACTGCTACTTGAAGGGGCTGAAGCCCCTCCCTTAAATCCTCAGAAATGAGATAATATCAGGCGTAAAAGGACATTGGTTGAAGTAGTGAGAAATTATTTTGGGGCTTGCAATTTAATAATGGTCAATGGATATGGCCCTTGATGGAACGGAATGACAAAACAGGATTGATGTAGCACAAACTTGTTCAAGCTACATAAGCCAATGGATATGGCCCTTGATAATTTCCCATGAATATCTAGGAAGGTTTGACTATCTTCAACAAAATATCTTTGAGCCTGCAATATGAAATTGTTGTTGTTTTTGTTGTTGTTGATGATAGTGGTACCATATGGCTTTTCATAGACCAAAATAGAGTAATTTTACTGATGCTTCCAATCCCACTTAAGTGGGATAAGACTGATGATAGTGATACCAAACACTAATTTTCAGTAAGATAGGTTTCACAAACTCTATTCTCCTGGATAAATTTATATTTAGGAAATCTGTTGCTGAGATGCATAGAAATGAGTTTTCAATATATATTAGGATATTTGGATAAATTTACCTTTAGATAACTTGGATAAATTCCCTGTTGTTGCAGCAATTTTAAACAATATATTAGAGCGATCAATGCTGCTCTCAAAGACTTCCCTTACATTGGTTGAAACCATCGATCACTCGTCAAGTTCCCGCTTCACTAGGGCATGCAGTTGATTAGACGAGGATAAATCTCTGTAGAAGACAAGATTTGGGGGGGGGAAGGATAAATGTTGTTGATTAGACGAGGAGTTGTTTTAACCAATAACCACGGTTTTCCTTTCAGGAAATTACAAAAAAGGAGTGAAAAGAAAGAAAGAAAGAAAAAAGAAAAGACTCRCTTGATTCTTAGGTAGCTCTTGGGTATCTGAGGCAAGAAGGGTTCTCTTGTTCTGCATTGAGTAGCAAGGTGCAATAGATTAATTAGAAGCGACACCAAATCAAAAAAAAAATGAAAGAGAGAGTAGGGTCTTGGGTTTCTTCCATTATTTCTTCGTGATTTGATTCTTCCATCTACTTAGTACTTACTAATTTTGTGATGCTTGGAGAATAAACCAAACACCGTTTCAGCCAAACCGTCGATCACTGCACTAATACGCATAGAATTCTCAAAAGGGCATGCAGCAGTCATGGTTGGAAAATGAGTAGCCACACACAGTTCCCTTCGCTTGGAAAAGAAACTGAACATGAGATGGGTTTCAGTTCTGAATGAGGGAGTAACGAGAGAGAGAGAGCTTTGAGGGTTTTTTTGTCAATTTGTTTTCTTATGAGAAAGAGAGGGAATGAAATTCCGATTCCGGGGAGGTGGGTCAGGAATAGCCATCCCCGAAAATGGGGATTGCCATTCCGCTCGGAATGGGAATCGGATTCCAATTCCGCCCAACCAAACACCCAGAATCGAAATGGTCCATTCCAATTCCGATTCCAAACCTCCATTCCTGCGAACCAAACGGGCCCTAAAATCTTCATTATGGCATACCAGAAACATCTGTATATATTCGCCAACATTTGAATACAACTAGGGATTCTTCTACCATTTTTGTCCCCATAAAAAGAGTATGTAACAGCAAAGTCAATCGGAATGAGCTATGGTGAAATGGTTGTGCCACAAAGCTTTTAAACAGTGAGCAAAGTAAACATTCCATGTAGGCTTACATAGGCAAATAAATTTATGGAAAATAAGAAATTATGGAGGCCGCACTGAATTAAACAGAGGAAAATGAAGTTCGGCTTATTCAGATTGTGTAACAAAATTGAGTCAGTCACTTTTACCAATCATATCCAACAATAGGAGTAACCTGTTCTACATTTACCACTTTCAAACTAAAAGAACAAAACAGGTAAATCATACACAAATAAAATCCCAAGACTAGACAAAGATATTTACAGAATTTCAGTCAATTAAAGAATCAACCCTTGTGCAGGTGCAGGTTTGGAAGGCTGCTCATCCGATAAAGCTTTTGGTGACTCAGAGAGATGAATCCGAGCATAGTCCTCCACCATCCCTCTTTTCTGCTCCTCTTCAGCCATGCCGACCTTCTCTTTTGCTTTCTGGCCCASCTCTCCTGCTGCCTTAGCAACCTTATTGAATGCATCAGTTACCCATGAAGCCCCAGTGAACACATACCTGTTCTTCATAATAGCAGACCCTGCACTACTGACTTTCTGCTCAGCAGCGGCAAAAGCTGATTTGGTCTTCTCTGAAACCTGAAATTTTTGGTCCATTTCTCTGACTTTGTCATTGACAACAGATGTACCAATGCTTATCTTCTCACTAAGCCCAATCTTCTTGTCCAGAGAAGCGACCGTGGCGGTGGCTGTGGATGTGAGTTGGTGTTTCTCATCAAAGGCCTTTGCTTTGCTAAGGGCATCTTTTCCCAAGACGAAGCCTTTTGCAAGCATGCTGCTAACAACATCTTCTGCCTTTTGAACAGCAAATTCAGCACCACCAGGAACTTTGGTTTCCTTTGGCTGAAGGAGATTGAGAAACAAGCGTGTTTACCACATTTATTTGGAAACTGTCATGAATAAAATATCTCAAAGAAAATACAAGCACTTTGCACAACATCTTACTTCAGTTGGGGCAAAAGCTGCGGGTGGCAACTGGTAATCTGGAGCTGGAGTTATTGTGACAGACATATCAACAATTGTTGCTCCCTGTGATATGGGAAAGATAGAATTATATCATAAGATGAACCATCTAAGGATCCATAGACAATCATCAAAAAATATCCTTAACACATGRTAATTTCAGTCAACTGAATTGTTCAGTATCATCCAATAAATAGAATTTTAACCAACAATTATATCAAACTTTAGCAAAGAGTAATCCCTTCTAATGGAAGACCTGAGCACAACATGAGAAGATGGGACTTCCTAGCTCTCATCATTAAAAGAATGGTTAAAGATAGGTAGGTATTCGTAGCTAACCAGACAATGGTTATGGGTTTCATTATCAGGCTTTAACATATGACATAATGTACGGGAAATATTAATCCAAGTATAACATTTCTTGTTACAATTTCAGTGGTATAAAAGGAACCACAGGTTAATCATTTATGTCTTGAAATATTTGTTCCTATCAAATGATTCAATGTTTGCAATCAATGGAAATCAAAACCGGAAATATATATATATATATATATATCCTGAGAAGTGAATGCACCGAAAGAAGCATTGCAGTTTCAGCTCCCTGAGCATCCTTGAAGGTAACAAATGCAATTTGAGACCACTCATTCCCACTGCAACAAGCAAATATGTTCATCACCGTGAAATCCAATAAAAAAAAAAAAGAAATAAATGTGAAAGGAAAGATCATGAATTGCATAACAGATCAACCAACCTCTGCATTTCAACATATTCAATATCACCAGAAAAGGAAAAGAACTCCTTGATATCTTGCTCTGTTGCACTTAAGGAAACATTGTTGATTTTCACTGTTTGTATCTGTAATATCAAAGAAACGCAATGAAGAGAGGATAGTAGTACCATGTTAAGTGCTTATGTTTAATATTCTGTCAGGCATAATCCATGAACACAACCATGGGGTACACACATGTAAGGGAAATAAAAGTTTTGACAAGTCTAGTACGAATTTCAATGTACACAAAGTTTTGATGGCAGGTAACCCGGGCCCATCTAGATTTTGGAGGAACCTTTAGGGATGAAGAGGGAAGAGTCATTGCTTTATTTTCTGGTCCTATTGGTGTTGGTGACTCACTTCACGCTGAGATCTTGGCAGTGATGCAAGGGATGAAGAAGGCTAAGGAGTTGAACTATCGCAAGCTCATTGTTGAAGGGGATTCAAAACTGGTTATTATAGGTTGGCTGCAAAAAGAAGAATGGTCTATGGAAGTTTGCTAATGAAAAGATTGTTCAATCAGCTAGCACAAGGTTTGGAAATTCAGCTACGGTGGGTAAAGAGAAGTGCCAACTCCTTTGCAGATACTCGTGCTAAGCAAGGGGTGGGAAGGGAACAAATGTTCTGGGCTATGCTGTAATTTGCTTTTTGTTTTTTTTTTCCTGGGGGAGGGTTAAGGGAGCTTACCTCTCTCCTACTCTCTTTGTACTCCAATTTTTTATTAAGGCTGAGTTTGGAAGGAGTACAAATGCAAATATGTAAGTGCAAATACATACAAAATAATACAAAATGTAAGGTTTTGCACTATACATATTTGTATTTGTATTCCTTCCAAACTGAGCCTAATGAAAATTTTCTGTTATTGATAAAAAGTTTAAATTTGAAACACCAGAATCTAATACATAACTGAAAGCTCAACTAATTCAGAAATCCAATTAGAACTGCTAGACCCTTTTCATAAAGAAGATGGAGATAATATCAGGCATGCATATAGAATAAAAAGGGTCATCATTATCCTCATCTGTTTTCCCCATCTATGTCAGGTTGTTAGTATGAAAAATGTTCATCCATTCTTCACTAAGACCATTTCTATCAAAACTCAAAGATGAACTAACATTCTCTCCAAACCAGAAATTTTTTTTTTTTTATCAATATTTTCCAAACCAGAATTCATCCGCTTTTCCTTGCCCTTACAGAACATTTTATTTGTACCAAGTCATCCCTTAAGACTCAGTTTGGGTAGAGTACAAATACAAATATGTACAATACAAATATATACAAAACAATACAAAATACAAGGTTTTGCACTCTACATATTTGTATTTGTACTCCTCCCAAACTGAGCCTAAAGTGCATTGCATTCATTGATTTATTTTCACATGGCCAAACCATCAAACTACTTACCAGTGATTTAAAAGGCGTGCCTAGGCGCACAGGTGAGGCACCCAGGTCCTAGGCGCAGCCCTTTCAAAAGGCGCACGCCTAGTGCGCAGCCTTGCGCCTCAGCCCAGGCATGCACCTTTTGAAAATTTGATGCTTTTTTGTTTTTTTGTGTCTAGTGGCTGGGTCGGGGGCTCCGCCCCCAGACCCCCCATGCCACGCCCCTCGAGGCAAGCCCAAACAAGTCCATGTTATTCATTCATTCATCCTAATAAAATAYCTTCTTAAAAAGCAATTAAAACTATAAAATCATTATTTTTTTTGTGTGAGAACTAAAAATTTAAGACCTAACTTGGACTTGTTTGGGCTTGCCTCGAGGGGTGTGGCACAAATGCAGCTSGTAGAATTAGGAATGTAATATATGTTTTACATCACATTAGCCACTTGAAGTAATGCAATTGAGAAAAAAAGAGATTGTGGGTTTCATAATATTAATTTTAGATAATAGGTTTTTTAAAACATTTATTTTAAAATTTAAGTTTATATTTTTATTAATATTATGGTTTATAATTTTTTGGCTTTTTTTTATTTTTTAGTTTTTTTTTGCACCTTGCTTAAAAAGGAGCACGCATCGCCTTGCACCTTGGGCACAAATTGACTCCTACACCTTTTTTGCGCCTTGCGCTTTTAAAACACTGCTACTTACCTGCATTTCCAATTAGTGCAAAGATTGAGTTTCATCAAATACACTCATTTCTCATTTTAGCCCTCTCATCCATTTTAATCCTCCCCTAGACCCCTACACTTTTTATGGACTTGCTGTTACTCCCAATATTCTGGTCCATAAAGTATGATTGATCTTATGTTGTTTTATAAATGAGACATGTTAGATTGTTAGTGAAATTCTGTTTGGTCGGCTGATTTAAGTTTCAACTGGGTTTGAATACTTTTTAAGTTTTCTTGGTCATTATGAAGCAATTATACAATTGTGTTTGCATAGAAGGGTAGCAAGACAACAAAAGTGGTTTAATTGTAAAATATGTACTCCTTGCACATTGAAGCCTAGACCATCACATATGTTCTTGCGCATTGAAGTGGATTCTATCAGTTGGTCACTGATTGGAATAAGAGATGCATTTGATGAACCTTGATTCAAATTGAACATATTATTCAGATGGATTCAGAAGTCTTCCATTTGGTTAGCTGGCAGCCTCATCAAAGGAAGACTGAAAAAAGTTGCATCAGGATCTTCTCTATTCTGATAATCTTTTTCTATCTTCATGTAACTGTATTTTTCTTTAGTTCTGTTCTCTTTTGGAAATTTTTTTACTTAGGCCTTTGTTTTGTGTTATATAGTTCTTGCATTTCCATTTTCTCTTTCTTAATATATTATATTTTTCTTCCTAATCTTTAACCAGATCAATTATGTTTATGCTGCTGTTTTTTCATTGGGCGACAAACTTCGGGGAGTATCCCATCCACCATACCCATAACCCCCCAACACCTGGTGGCAGCAGACTCAATCCCAAGTCTCTGCTGGAATGAGCCAGCAACCGTACCAACTGACCCACCTATCAGTTGGTTGTTTATGCTGCTGTTTTTGGAAGAAACAAAAGAGAGACTTCAACCATAAGAGATTTTTGGTGATTGTTTCCATGGGCAAAGTAGAATATGGCATCCACTTTTAGGTCTGTGTTTCAGAAGATTTTTGTGGATTGGACCTTAATCAGTTTCACAATTTTTACAACATTATTTTTCATTCCCTGGGTGGAATATTAAATAGTGTATATCATCATTCTGTATGAAGGAGGTTTCAGCCCTTCCCATGCAAATCAAAGTTTTAAAGCACAGAAGTGTGACGCGAGGCATTTCACCACCTAAAGACATGAGGCATGGTCCAGAACATGAGGTATAAGACTCCTGAGCACAACGAGATCTGCATGAGGTGTACCAGTGGCATACACCTTATGCAAAAGGCATTTGAGGTTTAGGTTTCAGAGGCATCCATGCCTCTACCTTATGCCTCAAATGCCTTTCAAAACATTAATTCTAATTGTTAACATTGTTGCACTTGTCAAAATATGAATTGTGGAAAGTCGTAACTACAAGCCCCCAGGGTGGCAATAATTCCAAGGGCAGACCAAATCCATGATCAGGCCCCTGCATGAATTAAGGGCCACAAAAAAGCCCCCCCCCCCAAAATAAAAAACAAAAACAAAGACAGACAGTCCCCTTGCTCAGCTATCAGCTGCTAGGTTGGAGTTTTGGAGAATCTTCAGTCTCAGAACACATGAAAATGGGATTCATTATCGTGTTCAGTGAGATACCAGAATGCTTCTGTTTACAGCTCCATTATCAGGAAGCAAATTGATATTCCCAGATGGATGGGATATGAACCAATCACACATTGCCTGGACTATTGGTATCAATGTGCTCAGTGGCAATAGATAGTGTCCTAGGAGAGCTTTCATATGGAAAATACATGGTGGATGCACCGTGTGCTTGGAGGAAGAAATGATGCCCCATCAACTTGTATATTGTCAGGATGGCTACTGCATTAAGAACTTTTTTTGCCATTTCTCAGTGGCAAGTGACTTTTTTCTCATCACCCAAGTTACATGACCTCACTGCATGGCCTCAGAAGCTTTTTTGAAGCTAATATAAATATTATAGAGTCCAGAAACCATTTGAGTATAAACTTGTGATACCCAGATGCCTATACATGCTTAGGAGACCTATCTGGGGCACAAATCCAGTATAGCACTAGATACTGCATGGACACTTCTAAAGTATCCTTATTAGCATTAACACTAGTAAAATATGTAAATGATACAATGTTTTTTTATCAATGATACAATGTTACAAAATGTACAATTAGTTTTGAATATGTTAGAAGCTTAGTTAAATTTGTCAAGACATAGCTACTGAGAAAATGACACTCGGCTTAAAAAGCTAGATATACAAGCAGGCTTTAAGCATATCATATGGGATAACCATACCCATATCTGTGTTTTGGAACTCAAGAAATGGAGAGTTGTATCCCCATTCCTTTTTCCATCTCTGTGTCTGCTTCTATAACCATATCTGACCATCTCAGGCATAAATATCACTTCTCAGAAATCAGTAGTTCCATTTAACAATTTCCATAGTTTAGATTGTTTCTCTCTTGAAAGGGAACATGAAGATGTACTAGTTGATGGAGTTATATATTTAGTTCTTACCTTTCTTTGACTAGCACAGTTTTCCCAGTAATAGGGATCTACAACTAAAAGGTCATAAAGATGGATGAAATAGAGATCTATTAGCAGTAGTTGTTGGCAGGATAACAATTTCAAAGAAATTAAACACAAAATTACTGAGTGGCCCTCCAATTTCTGGACTTCAGTATGTACCACTCAGCGTTGTTGAAACTAGACCAAGTAAGGATTCATAACACCAAGTCCAAGGAATTGATACTTTCCCAGAGAGAGGTTTCAGAAGAATCATTGAAAGCAACAAAGAGAATGTATTGTGTACCCAAATGGTTATTTGTCCGCAGGATACGAGGAACCCAAAGATGCAGAGTCTGTAGCTTTAGTTAAGAGTTAAGGGACCTAGAGCAGTTGTTGTAGAGATGTTTCAGATGTTGAGGGGCATATTTCATAACGCTTTCGCATGGGGATTTTGTATAGCGACACTAACAATAGCAAGAGAAAACAATATGTCAATATGGAACACCTTAGAGCTATCTGATAACCAGTAAACTTGGAATAGCATCTCTAGTATGTCCAAGAATTATTTACAAAAGGAACCGTGCTATTCAAAGTCCACATGCAGGATTTAAGGATTTGAAAACTTCACACTCATAGCCAGATAATATGGACCAAGGGAGCTACTTTTGTSATTTAGCTAAGTAAACAGATCAGCCTTTAAGCCAGAAGATCCCCTGCTCTTCATCTCTAGGATATAAAGGATAAAGTATTCTATCTGTATTCCAGCTTTTCTCTTTACCCACCAACCGTGCTCAAACTGCTTCGTCTCAACAAAATTCTTAATCCGCCAGAAGTCGAAGGCATGCAAATCACACGGATCTGGACTAATTACTAAATTGGAATTCGAACCAAATTCAAATCCAACTGAAATCAAAGCAAAAATTAAGCAACACAACAACCATTTACAATTCCAAATACCATCCATAATCTAATACTAATCAATCTGAGCTACATTAAACACCTCTAATCATTCAAGACACACCTCACAGCCCTTAAAAGCAATCTCAGCCAAAAAGAAACAAGTAAATAGCTAAATCATCGAAGAAACCAATCAACAGACGTCGGCATCGCTTACCGAAAGAAAAAAAATATACTCACCGACATCGAGACTACTATTGGGGCAAGTGAAAGCTCGATCAAAGAAGGTAAGCTGGAGGTAACCAACTCTGGCGAGAACCAGTCTGAACTTCACCAGAGAGCTTAGACTAGTCGGGAAACTCAAGTTCTTTCTTGTTTCTCGTGTTATTAAGGACTTGAGTAAGATACTTATAAGGCGAAGACTTCGGGGGGACCCAGCCGTGAATAGCTTGTCCCAGTATACGTTGCTTCGGGAAACACCTTGCCGGGAATTCTTTACACGTGGTTTGCTCCGACGGTAAACTAATCCAAGACGTCAGATACCGACGCAATTTTCGTTTCGGCGACGACGGCAGCGATGGCGGATTCAGTCCTTACAAAGTTGTGCACACACCGTTCTCACAGTCTTTTCACCCGTGGATTGAGAACATTTTCATACTTTTTATCTTTATTCATGCGAGATATTCTCAATACACGGCTGAAAAATAATCTGTGAAAACAATGTGAGTAAATCCGATTTCGAAGGGAGCGCGTTATATTGTCACTTGTCAGACTCCGTCACGCGGTTTTTAGACTTCGATACGGGAAGATTCTTACGGAATGATTAAAAATAAGCCTTGAATTTTACGCCCTTGGATTCAACAAATTTTCCGCGCCGATGTTTTGAATTTGGGCACATCCCATCTACCAAAGACAAGGGGAGCTATGTTTGCTCTTAGTCAATTGGAATGTGCCCAGATCACTTTTTATTTAGAAATAAAAGGAAATAATATGAGTTCGATGTAGTGTATTGCGATGCAAAATAATAAGTAGAACCATTAAGTGGGGATGCATTGACAATTGACCTGATTAAGCAATAAGCATTTTCCTTTGTGATGATTTAAAAACATCATCATTCTACGTGATGATAGCCATCCGCCAGTGGTCGATGGTCCAATCCAATGCTATCTGCCCACCGGCCACCGCAACTCATAGCTAATTGGCCATCATGTGTGGTTTGTATCGTCTACGGTTCTAGTCGTAAACTCGTAATATTAGCGGCCAATGAATCATTATTCGGTTATTTTATTGGGTAAGAGATCGCATCTCCGCCCCACAAGGGTGACGGGATCTCCTCCTAGCAAATGGGCGACTCATAAGCACATCCACCATTGAGAACATCTTCCGTGAATAATAATTAATAAATAAATACAGGAGATGTTGCCAGTGCACGATAGGACGTGCCTATGAGACGCCTGTGACGTGCAAGGTGAGGAGTAGATTCGGTCTCTTTACGAGGAATTGTTTTACAACACCCTATAACACATTTTCGCTATATATTGGAAACATCTTCCTATGATGACATCATCGGGATTGGTACTATCAACGGGAGACGATCCCAGGAATGTGTTGTAGGGCAGAGTCCAGATCTCTTGCCTATACGAACTTTGTCCACCTCTACCCACAACACACTACCCTTGTGAATTGAGAACATCTCCCCCTACATAATACTATGTAGAGGATGAAATGTTTTAGGGCATTTTGTAGGGCGGAGATGTGAACTCGTAAATTACATAGACCCCAAATATTCCCTCAACCGTTAAGTTAGATGACAAAAAACCATTAAATTACCAAAATCCCCCCATTAACTTGCCTTTAATTTTTTTGCCATTCTCTCTTAAAACTCTCCAACGTCGAATTCCACCCAGTATGTTAGAAAACATCCCACCGATCGGTTAAACAAAATCTCCACCTGAGTACACCATTAAACAATCACTCCTTTCTTCATCTCTTCCAATCTACTCAAACTCATGTCTTCTACTTTTCGCATCTCATCGAATGACCCACAAGAGCAACCGAGCACTTTCTAGCAACCCATCTACAATCTCTAGCAACCTGTCGGGTTAACCACGACAACTTGTAAAGGTAACAACAAAGGATCAAAGTTAATGCACTATTCATGCTACTGTTCATCATCTTCTTCAACGAGAATAGAGCCTCAACCAGCAACGACATTAACCTGAATCACTCTTTGCATATCCAGTTTAATATATATAGGATGAATAGTAGTAGCAGAGAGTGAAGTGGCGAAGCACTATTCATGCTTTAACTGATGAGGCCTTATCATTCTTCACATCCCCTGTTCTCGTCGATTATTGAGAGGGATTATAGGGTATAGTAGTTGTAAGTAGGATGTGGTTAGGCTAGGGGAGTGGTCTCCTTCAAAGACAAATGAAGACCGGGAGCAAAGAATCAACCAAGAGGCTAGGGTAAGGGGAGTGAGGAGACGATTGACCAGAGAATTTGATGATAGGGTTAATTAAGAGTTGAATGAATTCCGTTATGAGGGGGATCCCTATTTATAAGGAATGACCCCAAGATCCCAAAGGGAATGAGTCAAAAGTGTCTATTTTCTGTTAGAAAGGAAAATATTAGATTCACTATCAATCATTAAGGAGCATTGTTGGGGTTTTGCCACATGCCCCTATGGGAATCTTTCCAACGATTGACTTTCCTTTCACTCGGAGATCTTCATAACCCACGTGTGCTACTACCCTTTTTGTGCCTTACTTAATTGACGTGACACTGGTGACGTAACTACTTAGCGAACAACGTCTTATTAGACCCACATGGCGCCTTGTCATGTTCGTCACTTCAAAGTTGCACGTGTAGATAATATCCGGGCCCAGTTCTTAATGAACCGAGATTCTGTTGCGATTAAGGGTTTATCGTGGGGCTGAGTGTTGTGAACCTCATCGCAGGTTCAACCTGAATTTGCTTTGGGCTTGTGCTAAGAATAGGTTCACCGTGGGCATGTGATGAACCGTGGGTTCATCGCAGACCTGCAATGTACCATAGGTTCATCGCAGACCTGCAATGTACCATAGGTTCATCGTAGGGGAAAAATCAACTGTAAGCGTCCATGTGATATCAATCCATTGTTTATTATACTGAGGGACTGAGCRAACACTATGCACTCAAACGTGCAAATAACAAGTGAATAACCCACTTTAAAAAAATGGTTGCATTTTGGATGCAAAGATAAGAATGGAGATGGCAAAAGACATGATGAAAACATTGGGACAGTCCGTCTGGATTGGGGTGTCATATAGTGGGACCTTTCCACATTGCTTTGACCTTTTCACTAAGGAGAGATCAATTGATGCTATTGTCGGATGGTGTGGATTTCAAATTGCTTTTTTGATGCTACTACGTTCAGTACTTAAACAAGAGAAGCTTGCCAACAGCTTCTGAGCTTAGAGACTGCTAGCTCCTCCTTGTGCTCCAATGGCGGAGAACAGAGGAACTCTTTTGAAGGTGTACTACAATGGCTGCCCAGGTTGCGAGGTGGATCGGCTGAAGGAGTCGATCCGATCAGCATAACAAACCATTCTTCTAGCATAGCAAACCATTGAGCTTGGCAAAACTATGCTATGAAAATTATAAAAAATCAACCCAGCAATGGAACCCAAAATATAATAGATATGTTGGTTCAGATTAAAATGGAAAGAACCTTGCTAGTGCAGAATCCAAATCGATGCAGTTCTGTACATTGACTACCGCATCTCGTCTAGCTGACTAGAGTGTTAAATTGGTCTTTCTGAATGTTGTGGAAGCAGGGGAGACGTGGGCAAGTCGCATATCCAACTGCTGAGAGTAGCGCTAGCATAGACGGAGTTGACGATTTTGATCATGGCATTATCATAATAGTTGGTGGTGGCGAAAGAGTTGATTATAGGCGACAGGAAAGTGAGGTAATGCTCTCTCTCTCTCGCCCCGCGCGCGCTCTCAGTCCTGTGTTATTGTGTCCTTTATAATTCATACCTCATACAACCAAACTGTAATAAAAAAAGCTAACGAGATCTCTGGTGACTTTTAATGGCGGGAAATGACTGGATCAACAGTTACCTTGAAGCAATTATGGATATCGGCCCTGGTACAGACGATGCAAAATCATCATCGTTGCTATTGAGGGAGAGAGGGAGATTCAGTCCCACTCGCTACTTCGTTGAAGAAGTGATCACGAGACTGATCTCCATCGTTCATGGGTTCGATTGTGATATCATGGCATGAACGAAGGAAAGCGGAGCGGAGGAAAGAAGTGCAAAACCTTATATTAATTTTGTATTATTTTGTTTGTCTTTGCACTGTACATATTAGGCTCAGTTTGGAAGGAGTACATATGCACATATTTGCATTTGTACTCCTTTCGCATTGAGCCTTAACAACAAACTTTTTGGGTATTTAAAAAATTTTAAATAGTGGAACAACAAACTTTTTCCAAATTAACTGGGAACGTTAACGGAGGTTGTCACCCCCAATAGTACAGGGGGTCCATGTAATTTACCTATTTTTTTACACGGATTCCAATTTGCTGGTGGTATTTTAAAATTAGGTAAATTTTTTAAACTACCCTTATGGTTTAATTAATGGACTAAATGTACCCTTATTGTTTGAAAATTAGTGCCTCTTAATATTMGTTAATAATGGTGTGTGATCTAGAAGCTCCTAGCTGGAGAATTGCTTGGACGCACTCGCATAGCGAGCTGGATCAATCTGCAAAATAGGGCTCACAGGGACCGGGGTGAAAGACCCGGTGAGGCTGCTCCGATGCGTAAGTCAGTATTTTGTTGTATTCGCGAGCTGAGAGTTTGAGAACAAGGAGAGCTAGAATGCACTAAATCGCACGTACCTTTTTGTGTCATTTGGGTTGGTCCCTTTATATAGGCTTTGTTTGGCGTGGGCTTCATGCACCGCATCTGAGATTTTTGGGAGGTCACCTAACCGGTCTGAGATCCCTGAAGGTAACCGCCACGCACTTTACCATCCTCTGGAACACTCGGTACGTGGGCCAACTTCCGAAAAACTTGGGAGTGTCGGAATATGCATACCGAATTTGTCGGCAAGCACAACTCGCAAGTCGCCTCCTGGAGGGAGGTCCCTTGAGGGAGGTCGCTTGAGGGAGGTCGCTCCTCACATCGGCCAGTGACAAGGTGCTACAAGTCGGCCCTAGACAAGGTGCTCCTAGCTGACCTAAGTTGTGGTCGATGTTGCTAGGTCGGAGCGAAAACGAACCATGATCTGGGATTCCAAATCATTGCTTAGGTGATGTCCATGTGTCATCCAGCTGTTCCAAGATGCCATGTGGCACGATGTGACTAGAGGGCCAAATCTGCCCTCATCAATTGCCCCCACTCCCG